CATAAGAAACTTGATTTCTTCAAGCTTTTCTTTGAAACACTCATACACTCATCACCTAATGTGTAAATAACCCCTTGGAAAGTTTCCCAGTGTTCTAGCAGTATGGACTATGTGCCAGAAACCCAGACAAGATTTTTTTCAGTGTATACATTTTACTGTGTTTGCAGTACTGCTGTTTTATGCAAGAGACCTTAAAGTACAGTGAAAACTGCAAGCCTGAAAAATAAGCTGAATGTAACGCATGGTTACTTTAAGCCTTTATAGAATTTTTCTCCCTTTTGCATGGTGTGACACAAGTACCCACAGAGAATCAAGGGTCATGTGTCATTATAAAATCTGTTTAAAACATTTTCACTGTTTGAAATCATGAGGTCAAGAACACCTATAATTCCAGATTCAACGTTAGTCCCATTGGAAGAATACTTAATTTCATACTAAATCATGCTAGCGTTCTTATTGTCTGGAATAGAGGTGCATGATGTATCGGAGGCTGATATATTATTTTCTGATATATAGGAAAATTTAATTATTATTATCGTTCTCATATTGGAATTACAGCTGATAATTACAACCAATAATGCGGCGCCCTATTTTTATGTGTGTGCACTGACGCAGTAGACTGGGTACAGTACAGTTTCTGCAGAGTGAAAATGTCACTTTTTAATCAATGATCCATCTTTACAGAGTTTAAGCTTTCTTACCCTCATTACACATCAACTATGGATTATAGTGTGAACTTGTTTTAAAATATAAAAAAGTAAAATGATGGGTTATTGGTATCTGTATCGGCTGTTAATTATTGGTTATCGTTATTGTCCCAGAAATTCCTTATCGGTGCATTCCCAGTCTGGAATTGTCTTCACTATTACAGTCATTGAAATATGGAGGTTTATGGATATCTAATAAGACTTAATAGTTTTTTAAAAGATTGACGACAAGGAATGTGAAAAGAAATTCTGTAAGTCTTGTTCTTTGTATCTTTTAACGAAATATCAAGTTGACTGGAAAGTCAGATATGCTTTCTGATATGTCCTGCCACTAATCTGAGTGCCAAGTATAGTGAATTTTGCACTAACGATGAAATAAGAACAAAAATTATCCAGGCTTCTGTTGCAGTTTTGTTTCAGATTCAGTTTGACCTAACCAAGCTGATTTGCAGTGTGATGTAAAAGATGCAGCTGCTTCCCTAAACAGAAACTTTGCTTATATACTTTTTTAAAAATATTTTTAGTGAAGAACTCTTGCTGTGTTTTAAAAATGTCATTTGTAAATGTCATAGGTTAAAATTTTGTGGTTGAGTTTAGATATACTTCATGTAAGCTTCCATGTCATGTTTTGGGACCTGCAGGGTTCAGTGAAATGAATAATCTTCAGGCTGTCGCCCAGCCACCAAATGCTTGGTTTGCAAATGGGATGATGCTGGACACCTACAGTATCTAGAGCTAGGAACTTCTTCAGTGGTCAAAATGATGCATAGAAGTAATTTGCTTTCCAGTGACAGGTCTGAGCTTAAACTATTGCTCAACAGAACATCACTTGTTTTGCATAATTATGCATTTTTATGTGATTGATGTCTGTTATGATAATTTTGTTTATCAATGTTAATTTAATTGTAATGGAGCAGCTGTGTCTCTCAGCTGTCTCTGACGTTTCTGCTGCGCAAGACTGTGTGGCTTGGAGACGTGTCAGGAAGAGAAAAAGTTCAGGCATTTTTACCAGACAGCGAAAGCAAGATATACTGCAGCTGTAGTCAGCCATTACTCTCTCAATAAAAAGGTTCAGAACATGTCTAAGAGGTCTAATCTGCTACTCAGGGATTCAGACAGTTTTTGGGGATTCATAAGGATTAGACTTGGTAAAAGGTTAGAATTTTCCATAGAATTGTGGGTTGTCTCTTCAATAGGTGAAAAGGGAGAAGTGGGTTATGTTATCCTTATAAAGGTGTCCTTACAAAAGATTGCGATGGGACAAACCAGGTTACCAAAGTTATTGTGAAAAGTTTTTATATCAGGACTGGTCCAGCCTTAGCCCTAGTTTCACAGTTCCCCACTGTTGATCATTTTATTCAGGTTACAACAAATGGAAATAGAAATTCTATAACAGAGGGTTCAAGTGTGTAGGTCCTTCCAACATCACATGACGAAGTTACGGGGAACTTCCACATTAACGTGTATGTTGCTTTATCATTTAATTATTGGAGTGAAATTTGTGAGGTATTTTTATTTATTAGTGTAGGTACAAATTAGCTTTACTAGGTTGATTAATGTTGTCAGGACTACAATCTTTCAGCTCAATTTTGTCATCTTATATCTTTAAAGGGTAACTGCACTCCCAATTTTTCACACCAGTTATTAATTCTCGATAAAATAAATTCATTGATGGTATAATAAATTGTATAAATTTCGAATGAAGCACAAAATCGTCAACTTTGTGAAAGTACTGCAAGTCTCCATGTTGTCACAAACCCTTGGTCTTGCCCTGGGCAAGTGAGAATTTGCACGAATTGTGACGTGATACAGCCCTTCCATTATTGATCATGACACACGACCAGATGGAAACACAATAAGCTAAACTTTGTATAATTGTGTAGTTCCTGGGTTTCCAAAACTGCTGTTTCCTTGCTGAATCATCACAGAAATCTTTGTGATTACCTTGCATGCTGAGTCTTAAGTGTTACGCTTTTCAGAAGCTCATTGCTTGCTTTTTGTGGCTTTTGGTTGTCTAGTTTGAAGTTCCTATTTTAGCTGCATGTGTTGTACTTTAATTTTATGGGTGAACTGCACTCAGTTCCCCTTGTTGGCCTCCAGATGTTCCTCTGAAATGCTGTTGAAAGGCTTCTTGAGGCAGAACAGATGCATGTCTGTGTATGGCTTATTATCATTTTTTTGCAAAGTTTTTTTTTAATGTAAAAAATAAGACGACTTTATGTTTTTACTCCTCTGTGCTGTAAAAAATTTGTGGAGATAACCTGCGGTGAACAAAGTTAATTCTAAAACCTTTAAACATATACACATTTCACTCACTTTTTTTCACATCATGTGAAGATGGCCAGTTGCGACCATCTCGGCACTGATTATGCTCAGTACTGTTTTCTCTTTTTTATGTTAGGCTTCATATAATGTATCTGTCTTTTCTACATGCTCCACTCTTAGGATAAGAAGTTAATGAGTGGAGGATTTCAGCTTTCCTTGCCTTTCTGCTGTATTCATTTGAATTCCACGATCATCACAGTGCAGTCCACCATCAGATTGTCAGACTTTCATTTGCATATTGACTTTTATTGGTTACTTGACACTTGCTGTTTATATTTTCATGCACTAGTGTGACATGACCATCACATTATTTATCTTGACAGTGGTTTTATGAATGAGGTAGAAGAGCTGTCACAGTGTTTTAATGGGCAAAGCCATCTGTTTATAAGAATATCCACAAATGTGTTTTGTTATGACAGGTATCATCACATGTAATAAGATGTCACCTTATACAGTACTTGGAATACACTGCACCACCACCATTACTGCAATGCAATATTAGTATTATATATAATTTGCTGGAAAGGATTTCAAACAGTGAAATCTAAACAGGGATTTTTCCTATGAATTTTTATGTTTTTGAATGTAAAAAAAACTTGACCGATAAGTACATCTCTTATAATTTATAATAAAGATAATTCAGTTCTCCCATATTTGACAAGTTAACATTGATAGTAAAATGTATTGGGACAATTGGCAGACAGGTGTCTCTTGTTGGCAAGGTGTTTGTTGTTGAATAACTATTAACTCAATTAAGGAACTATGAACATTTTATCTACCTGTGTCACTTGGAATTCAGTGTTTGGAATATGTAGTCTAAAGCCACGAAAATGAAAACCGAAGATCTGTGTTAAAAGTAATGCAAGTGAAGGAAAAGAAAAACTCAACCATAGAACTATAGCACCAATATACTAAAGAAGAAAGAAACCACAGGTATAATCTCCAGTGAGACAAGAAATGATCAGAGCTGTTGAGAACCCTGAAACTGACAGTAGTGAAATCAGCCGCCCGAGTGCATGAGAAAACGGTATCAAAATCCACGGTTTACAGAAGACTTGAGACAACAGAATTAAAAAGACTTCTGAGGTGGATGTATTAGCATTACAGTGATCTAAAATGTATGGCCCAGTGAAACCAAGGAGTATTTCAGGAGAAAACAGTAGAAAAGTTTAGACAGGTTAAGTCATTCTCCAGATTTAAATCCAATAGAGCGTGCATTTTACACGCTGAAAAAAATGTCAGAACACCTAAAGAATAGGCCACTAGAAATGACTATAGGTAAGACTTGACACACATCTGAGTTGATTACGCTAAGAGTTTGATGAGGTCAGTGGTTTCCAGACTTCATGCAGTTGCTTCCTCAAAGGGACATGCAGCTAACTTTCCACTCTGAAATTGACTCAAAGTGAGTTTTGAGTTTTCTTTTTTTTCCCCGTGTTCAAGTAAAAATACTTGTTCAATTTGTCCCAGTAGTCATGTTCATTTGAAATCGCTGTGTTGAGCACAAAGTATGTTTTTGTTCTAATATGATTGAAAATATGCGGGCACTTAAAACGGCTGTTGTTCATTCCTATTGATTTTATGATAACAAATATAGACTGATTGTAAAGCAAAAGTAAGTTTTGAATTTTCTGTCCTTGTACCTATAAAGATTATTATCATAACTATGATTTTTATCTTTGCTGCGCTTTTTCAAGTTATCCCTGTATGTTACTATATAGTTACATCTTTTCCTAAGTGAGATATTGGCCTGAATACTCACTTTTAGGGTACTACATTTTCAGTTTAGCACTGTAACATTAGGATAGCCTGTTACTTCATTCACTAGTTTCTCTATGTGTATTATCAACCTCTGTAAATCCAAGTGCCTGCTGTAAACCTCTACAAAGCTCTATTTTTCTTTGAGCTTTAAAAAAAAATCAACCAAGGATGTTTAATTATTATTTTTACTTTCCTTTTATTCTCTAGGTCTCCATTTGACCAAACAGTACTTATTGTCAACAACCACAGCAAAGCTCTTTCTCAGTCCTTTGAGAACTTATTTGATGATACCACATTTGGCCTTGTTCAGGTAGGTGCTGTTTTTCAATGCTTTCAGTTGCCTTGTGGCTTGCATAACACAGCAGTGTTGTTTTTAATAATAATAATATCACTTTATTAACCCTTTACAATGTCTTGCATTAGGAATTGTCTTTTCGCATACCCCAGCTTGCTCTCCATGAGACACACAGATACACAGATAGGGAGAGAGCCTGGGGTCAGAGCGCAGGGTCTGCCATTGTATGGCGCCCCCGGAGCAGTTGGGGTTAAGGGCCTTGCTCAGGAACCCAACGGAGTGGGATTCCTCTGCCGGCTGCGGGATGTGAACCGGCAACCTTCCAGCCACAGGCGCAGATCCTTAGCCACAGGGCCACCGCTCCGCCCCCATTTAATGAATTTTTAATTTTAATTTTTTGAAGGAGGCACTAAACTTCTTGTGTGAACTTTGGTGGTGACTTTGTAACTAGTAGCCTCTCAGGCAAAACTTAACGAAAAACTAAACTGTTTTAGAATAACTCTTTCTTTAAGTACTGTAAGCAAGTGCTGGGCATGCATAAGCTTCAGATATACCAGAAATGCAAACAGTGCACACTGCTAGTTAGATTGACAGGACACGCTCAGGATATCCATGTGAAGGCACAGGCCTGTATTGCACAAAGGGACAGATTTGATAGCTGTTCTGTTGTAATATGCGGAAGATCACATCTATTCACAGAGCGCAGCAAGTACACAGTGATTTTATATAGTTTAATTACTCAGTAACACCTGTTTAAAGCTATGATGCCAAAAGAGAAGATGTTTGAGTATTTTGTAATTTAAAAAAAATTTAATTTTTTTTTCCACAGAAATTTAAAAAAGATCCATATACAACAACATTGGGAGGCTTTTCTAAAGTCACCAACTACTTATTTGATGCTTTTCGGGGACAAGATGCAGAACATCTGCAGCGCCCAGCTTCAGAAGTGGCTGATCTTCTCAGTGAAGCCATTCCAGGGCTAGAAATTAATCACCAGGAGGAACCAGGCTTTGAAGTCATCACAAGAGTAAGTGATTTTTATTTTTATAAAATGCTCGCAACTTTCATATGTTTAATGGGCTGAAGATCCTGAGCTTTCCTGTCATGTCAGCCCACTTGGATAAGTTCATATTTATATTGGGTGCCAGGGTGTTATTATTTTTGTTTCAAATTTTCATTTTGGACTTCACCAAAGTGCTCATTCAGTATAACACTCATGGAATTTAATACAGTCGAGTTTTTTTTTGGCAGGAGTTGATTACAAAACGTTATGTGTTCAAGGGGTTCAGCTTATGTTCCACTAACCTTTAAACTCCTGGCTTCACACCGGAATTATGAAACTAAAGTTATTTTTATGTTCTTATGGTAATCTTGAAACAATACATATAAGGCCTCATTCACTGAATAGTGATAGTGTGATTTTTGTGTGGAAAGTGTCCTTACTGCGTGCCGAGTACGTCTTTATTGTTCATTAATGACATCGCTACTAGTCTCAGTATGTTGAAGAGCTCCTGCATGATTTCATGTTCAGGCCATTTCCATGTAAGAAAGATTGTATGTGTTATGGTCACTTGCATGTCAACGTTCACTAATACATGAAAATAACCATACCAAATGCCCTTTACCAACAACGCTTGATTCTCAGTGCGTGGCAAGCGAAAGGTTACTCAATGTAGTGTTCAGAAATCCATGGTAGTGTGTGGAAAATTGGAGGTGGTATAGTGTCACTGACCTAGGAGGATAGCACATAAAAGAGCTAAGCACTCTGGCATTTGTTTTATTGTTTTTTAATTTCTTTTTCTCTGTTGTTGTTCCATAATGTATATTTATTCTACATTAAAGAAGGAACAAAAGAGCTGTAAAGAGAGCAGGGAAAAGAGTGAGGTAAAGAGCATTTCAGTCCAGGAAGACATTCTGGTCTTCTGCAATGTTTTGTCTGCAAAGTATGTAGCGGATAAAACAAATAGAGAACCAATTCTTGGAGCTGAGGACCAACTTTATATGCAAACCATTCCAAAATGTATGTCTGTTACATTATTATATAGTTACACGTTATATTACACACGGGATTGAAGAAGGAATATACAAGTTCGATTCAAGTAAGCTGTGCTTACAATTAATTAAGCATCCACAGCATAATTGATTAGGTGCGGTAATAGTATCAAGTAATTAAAAGTGAATCTAACTCCAATTACAGTGATGTTTTACTAAGCATTTTCAAATGTAGCGGTGTAGCTCATTATTGAAAAAGCAAGAATTAGAAATTAATCTGAGGGAAATAATGATGTTGAACAAAAATATTAGATATACTGATGTTTATTCGATATTCAAAGGTTCTGTTAACAATTACTTTCTCTGCTTTGTGCTGCAGGAGGAGGAAGTGTGTCTGTATAGAGTAAGATGCTCCTCCCGCCCTCAGAGTCCTGTTTAGGATCGTCAGTTTCACATCACGCTATTGTACATTAACATGTGTAAGAAATACTTTCAATTTGTTAAAGCTTTTTTTTTTTAGTTTAATGTTTCTCTTAGCAACAGTCGTACATTGTTTGTCCACTAGGCTACATTTGCCATTACAATCAGATCAGATTTAATAAGACAATTAGGGTTCTTACAATAAGGTTTTATGTTTTCCATAACTCCAATATCCAAGACTTGTCCTTGAAAATGTTGCAAGTCCTTGAATTTTTAAGCTGCCAATTTAGGGCCTTCAAAATAACGGAGACGTTTGTTTTTGAATTTGCGATTTTTGTAAAATGAAACAATATTAACTTCCCGCTAACAAATGTGCTGAATGTTTCAACCTGCCAGAGGTGACTTTTGTATATACGCAGTGATGCAGTTCGTTGCATTTATTTTTTATTAAATCACAATCCCCATTCCTACCTTAAAATCCAATAAAGAGACAAATGTGTTTTTTCTTTGTGCGAGATCATATCACAATACTGCAATAGCTTAAGAGTGAAATGTTGAACATTATAAAATAGATAAGGTGTAAAATTCAAAATAGAATGATCAACTATTTTTCAATTTTAACAGTGGCCATGGCAATGAATCTTAAGGATTTATGCAGGAAAACTAGCAAATTGCTGATTAAGAAGAAGAAATTCCGATAGAAATTGGAAGTAGGATCCGCGGGGAAAGTGGCATTGAGTGGGATGAAGGGCAGAAATGAGATAGTAGCGTCAGTCACTATTTGAACTTGACTTTACCTACTCAACCGAAGTATTATTTCCAAAATTGTTAGTTTTGAAATGACTATACTAAAATATGTTGTTAGGTTTGTTATATTATTATACAATAGTACCAAAAATTGAACTAGTGCATATAAAATAGTACCAATAAATAAATTACATAAAAATATGTTTTGTAGATGCAGAGGCACTCCCTGACTTTTGTATGTCGGAGCTGCATGAGTCCAACCTTATTTAAAAAACAGCTTGTGGTTCAGTCTTCTTATGTATCGCCTCTCATGACTTGTCTTATATGTGCCTTGTCTGCAATACTTTTGCTGTGTGTTTGCAGTGTTACCCTTTAATCATGCCTGAAAAGTGTTCTAGTCATATACAGTAGAAGGTGCTGCAAACATGTGCCATGCAATTACTCTATACTCTATAATTACGCTATACTGTAATAATATTGTAATAGTGTAATTTTGTATTACTACAGTACTGTTATAATGTTGATGATAACAAGTGGTATAGTGGTCATTTCCTTTAGTGTTGAAATGCTGTCTTGTGACGTTTTATTGAACTCGTAATATTTAACAACTTTGTTGGACTGATTAATGAATGTAGGTGAATTTTAGAGTTTTAACATGTATAAGAAGTTTTAGAGTTTGATAGGCAGAAGATGTGGCCATTCATTTCAACCATATTTAAAAGATAATTTTGAATTTTCTCAGAGCATGTGGCTGTACTTGATATTTTAGCTGAGATTGTTTTAAAAAGCACTTCTGTTTTGCCCACTTTTATGCTTAACGAGAACCATTTATTTGAAAGCCTCAAGCCTTGAGTTTTTCCGTTGCAGACAAGTGTAATTCTCATCTGAGTTTTCCATCTTTACAATCAGACCAAAGGCAAAACCTGTCAGTAGTGTCAGAGAGCTGAGTGTCAAGATATATTTCCATCACAAGTTTCAATATTGTTTGAAATCAATAATAACATCTCTGTAATATTTATTATGTATTTTTCACAGTAGAAACTGTTTTAAATGCATCTGGGATCAAACAGTACATGACTAGCTTGCAAACGAATACAGAAAAAACAACTACCCCATTGTGCATTATGTGGGCAAAGAAACCATACAAATAACAGTAAAAAGCTGAGATAAAGCAAAAAACAGGAAGTGAATCATCTTGAAACTGTAAATAAAAAAATAAATTACTATTTAAAGAAAAATACAAGTTGGAAACTTGTTGAAAATTACTTTTAAAAAGGTTCACAGTTAGGGTCATGAGACCACTAATGTCTTTTCTTATTCGGGTGTTATTTAGAAAAGCAGTGATACAGTGATACACTCATGTATACAGTGCCTTCAGAAAGTATTCAGACCCCTCCACTTTTTCCCAAACTTTGTTGTGTTAGAGTGGAATGATGTGGGCTGCAATACCATCCTTCCTTAGTGGAGGATGGTCGTGAAGGCTGTTTTCAGTGCTACTGGATGCATACATGTGCGAAACCATCCAGTACCTCTGTGTGCAAAGTCCTTACTGTTTTGTCACATGGTATTCTTATTAGAACATAAGAATAGGAATTACAACTTAACCATGGTCTTATTATACATATAATCACATTAGTGAATATGGGAGAAACTTTACTTTTGCATTAAGTGTGGCTTTGCTCTACCAGGCATTTTATAGTAGAAATTAGTGATTGAGGACCTAAATGCTTTATTACACATATCTGGATATGCATTTCTTTTTATTTTTGCAAATTGTGAATAAGAAACTACACACAATATGGGTACAATTAAAAAATAACAGTTCTCCAATGCAACTTATTTATTTTTACTATTTTGCTTTAATTTTCAAACTCAAATATAGTAAAAATAGTTCTTACCATGTCTGACATGTTTAGCTGTGGTTTCAGCATGAATTCAAGCATACAATATTGAAAAGATGGGAGGGAGTACAGTAAGTTGTCTTGCTGACCTACTCTTAAAATGCACAGATAAACTGTACATGATTTATTTATGCCTTCAAGATCAGTAAGATAATTTTTGTTTTCACTTGACTGCTGTTGATCCAGTCTCTTAATTTGCTGGAGTAGAGATATTTACAAATTATATTGGCTAATAAAATAACTTTTTTTATTGCTGGTTGAATGAACGGAAGACTTCTATAGGTCAATATTTGGCTAAGACTCTCATTTGATTGATTTTTTTTTAGTTGAAGGTAATTTGATTATTTTTTGTTTAAAATACTTTATTTTAGATAGGTTTAATTGAGTAGTAAGTGACATTATGTGTTTTGAACTGGTTTTTCCTTGTTAAGTTGATTGGAAGCTTCAGGGTCTTCTAGTTTATCGGTCATTAAAATGGTCTCTGATAGGTGTTTATCCATTAACAATAATGCTGTGTATATTTAATATTTTATCTCAAGACATAGTATTAAAATGTATCATTATAATCTCAACAATTCAATTGTACTTTATTCTAGCATAAGAGTCACTGAGCAGAAGTGACATCGCCCCCTTGAAACCTCAACATTGTAGAATTCACCTGCTGCAGGAAACCCAGTCTTTTGGCTTAGTGGAGTCCATCAGTGTCTTGGGAGTGGGACTGTGTGCAATCTGAGCTCCCCTTGCGATCAAATTCCAGCAGGGGCAGAGCAGAGCTGCAGTCATCACACTCGTACATTTTTTTCCTTCTGTGGTGCAGACTGTTTTTTTTTTCTTTGCAATGTCTTTGAGTGATGTTTTGATCAATGAAACACTTGTTCTTTAAAAAAACATCCATTCTATATTTACAAAATTGCTCCCTAGCGTCATAGCTCCATGTAATAGGATATTGCCAGTTGTTTTGGAAAATATGAAGATGAGTCATTCAGTTCATTACCTGGAGTGCTTAAATTCATCACCGCACTTGGATTTTCTGCTCAAATGAAAATTTAATAATTTGCACATTTACACTGAAAAATAATTTCCTGTGTCTCATTTCTTATTTGACTGGATGGTGATAATTAGAGTGAGGTTTATACCTTCTTATAGAGTATTAAGCAGTCATTGTGTTCCTGATTAAGGACAATGTACTTAAAATCCGTCACTGAATGGTGGTTGCACAAAATCCAGTCAAAATCTTTGTCTCCAAAACACTGTGCATGAGATCAGAACCAACAGAAATGATTTAAGCTGTGAATTCCTACACCTCTTCACTGAGAATCCAGGTAACTCTCATGCCATTATGATACTGGTGCTCATGGAATCACTGTGGAAACACTGAGACCAAATCAGAAAAGCACCTGGGTTATTCACCATACAGAAAAAAGCCCTCGACTATCGGTGGGCATGCTCATAGCTGCTTATGACAACTATTCTCTGGGATTCAGAGGGAACTGCGATGACTGCTTGACCCGCAAAGCTAAGAAAAAGAAAGGGAGCATTGACCAAAGGTTTTCTGTCCTGCCATAACCGCTGTTCATGACTGCGATTTTGAGCAGTTTAATCACCCACAGTGCAGTGTAGACAGGCCATGAATACATGCTGTTTTAACATCTGAAGTCTGTTTTGGCATGAACAATTTGAATGAGAATCAAGTGTATTGTAAAGAAACAAAGTGCAAGTGAATGTACTGAATGTACTGAAGAAGAGACCTTGTGACTGGAACCATTTGAAATACCTTGTTCTAGGAACCTACAGACTCATCCTTTTACAACAAAATATTGTTGAATGTTTAATTTACTTAAATTAAGCACAATAATGAGTTATATAGGGACTAAACTAATTTTATTTAGAGAGAAATTGAAAATAAAAATGTAGTGAAACATCATATATCAGTGTGGTTAAGACCAGCATACTCATCCGGTAATCCTAGGCAAATGCAGATTTTGTAATTGATTTGTCTTTTTCTTAGTTTCAGATAAGCACTTTGGAGTACCTACTGTATTCACGACCTGTTTATTTTAAAGAAATGTATAATTATATCAACATGGCATACAGTGTATATGTCAGGTTCAGTTAAAAAAAAATCTAGGGTGCTATTTTCATTACACTATTGTACTAAAAAGAATATACAATATCACTGTTCTCTTGCATTTTAAATGCTAATTAATCCGAGTCTGAATCTGAGAAATATGATCTCACACTATACATATTCAGTACACTTTTCATCATTTATTGTTATTGTCTTTAATGTTGGGACCAAAAAATATTTTGTGAACATTTACATGAATTAATGATTTATTTAAATTATTTTTCATTTTTCACAGAGATATATTTAAAATTTTGCTCCCCCGCCAAGACCAGATGTCTAATTAATGCTATCCTTGTAAATTAAATGAAAGTATTTATTTACATTTATAAAAACTGAACTGATGGAGAATGAATGGCAGTTTTATACTACAGCATAGGCTGAGTTTTTAACATAATGAATGTCTGTTGTTTTAATTACAGGAATAAAGTCCTCGGTATGAATCTTAATTTATAACCAGAATTATAGATCAAACATTTTGATAGCCTCTGTTATTTAATTAAGTACATCTTTACATGGAATCTCAAAAGGAAAACTAAAGGTTTATTAACATAATAGTTATAAGTGATATAGCTTTATATGTGTTGGGTACCATAACTGGCTTTATGCTCAGTGAATAATTGATGTCCCCCTATGCTTACTGTCTGTATCAGGTTCAATCCCCATGGTAACAGCTAAGTTCTTCAAGCCAAGACCCTTGCTGTTTTTAAGCACATATCCAAATACTAGCCTTACTTGCAGTGTTTGAATGCTTTGAATAATTTTCCAAGTAATTTTCTTTAATCTGTGTTCTTGATGAGCCCTGTTCTTTGGGTCCGTATTCAATGTGTGTCGGTACTCTAAACACCTCTCTACAAATAGACTATGTTTAAAAATAATATACGTATTAAGGTATATTAAGTAATACACAGTTTTTAAAAAATGTTTTGAGTTCTTAGTTGTAGATCTGTAAATTAAAGTCTACACATAGGCTATGGCAATATGAAAGTGGTCTGTAAGCTTTCAATACATACTTGTACAGAGTTATCATTATTAGCATTTGTAACATGAAATTCCAAAGAGCACATGCCTTTGACCATTTATTGGATCCTGGCAAGACCTTATAAAAAAAAAAAGTCAAATTAGCAAAGTAAAGGCTTGCTTTGAACCTTGCCTATTGATTGATCATTATTAATGGAGGAAAAAAGAAATGCAAATCACAAATCTAAATTTGTAAAAGCAGTGTGAAATTCACACTCCTTTTAGATCCTCTGGAAAGATTTAAATATCTTTACTGATGATTTAACCTTTATAGACTGAGTGAGTGTTTTTGCATAAGCAGTTTTACACTTATTGACAAACGGACATGCAATGTTAATGACTTATTTGCATTTTTCAGATTGATTTAGGCTCAAGGCCAGAAGTTGAAAGAAGAGAACCTGTTTCAATTGAAGAATGGACTGGGAAAGTGGACTCTGAAGGAAGAATACAAAATGTTCTTCATTTAAAACTAATTATATTCAAAGGGGTAATTACATTTTCTATTTATTGTGACTGCTGTGGCACAATTAAATATTTACTACTTGGTTTAAAAGAATAATGTGATGTGACCATCCATATGCCATTGTTTGACTATGTCGTAAATATATAAATATAAACTATATATTACGTGGTAATGTAGCCATTCTATACATTAGTCATTTCTTTAGTTTGCAAAGAAAATATTTTAGGTATTTGTCTATATTTGTGAGTTGGAAGGAACATTATTGCAGTACACAAGCATATGACAGGTTTTTGAGCCAGACAAATTAAGGTATCAATTGTATTATGGTATAATATAATGAAATCAGAATCATTATGTAAGGAATAAGTGATCATAATGGGTTTAACTAGTTAGTTTCTGGAACTGGGTTCCCAGCTGGGTGGTTGAAGCCCAAAATCTGGACATCTTCACGAAACAGATAGACAAAATATTAATTCTCACCTGAAAGACACACCGGAAGAAGTGTTGTCTCTGAACTAAACTAACAACTAAATGTTGTCTCTTTTCTTTTCAGCATGGAAAAACTCAGTTAAACTCAATTTTCAGTTTAAGGCCAAATCTGAAGTTTTATTATATGGAGATTCACTCTCCAATACAACATCTGTTCTGCTGATATACTTTGTGGCAAATTCTATAATCAGTATTCTACGTGACTAACTATATCTTTTTCAATTTCTAAAGATGATTGTTAATGGCATTCACTCTAAAGAATGACTTGATACAGGTTACATTACTGCTTACATAACCCATTGATATATAAAATTGGAAAATCCAAGTTAGTTATTGGTCAGTGGTTGGTTTGATCATTTACAGTATATTTCTGTAAGTCTAGGCTTAAGCTCTTTGCCGTCTAAACCTGTTTATTTCTGTTCATAGATGTATACGTTCTTTATTCTTTAAATGGTACAAATGAACACAAGGTTAATTGCTAAATCAAGTTTCGTGCTAATGGTCGTAAGATATAGTATCACCGTATAAAGTCACTCTTTTCAGATTCCTTCTGCTGATTAGGTGTGCCCATAATCCCTACTGGAAGGTGAAGAACTCTTTTAGAATGCAGTGATCACTGATGAATTACATATTTTTCTCGAATTGTGGAATCCTCCACACTTCAGTGGTAACACAATAGAAAGATTAAGCAAGAGGCAGCCTAGTAAATTACAAAGTAAATGTCAAGCTGTGCAAGGCATTCTTTTGGCATAAGTTTACATACATTATCTGCAAAACTACTCAGATGCCTGCAGTCAAATATCCACTGTATTCTCTTTGTCAGACATCTTGAGAAATGAGATCATCTTTTGACCGTCTGATGGAATAATTGGCTGTCAGGCATCTACTGCTTCGAGGATACTGAATGATTTTTGTTTTTGCACACACATGAAAGGATTTTCACATAAGGCATATTTTACTGATTTTTTTACAGGAAATAATCTAGAAGAGTGTATTTTAGCTTGTTTTTGCTTATTTTAAGTTTTGTACAAGGAGTACATTGGGTCAGTAGGGGTTAGCTACTAACTTAAACCTTGCTTCTGTTTGTTTTTCCTGTTGGAAAAAGTTTTCTTTTTAGAGGAAATAAAACCACTTGGAGGTAGTTCGACCACAACTATTATCCCAGAATGCCTGCTGCTACCTTATAAGCAGTTTTTTCCTGCTGTGGCTGTCAGGAAGCTGTTAAATATTGCATTTCACTCCTCTTGGTAAAGGTGTCACCTTAGGCACTGATGTATAAAGCATGTTGCAAGAGATCTAAAGGTTTCACTTCAGTGTCTTGGTCAAATAAGTTGGAGAAATACCTACATTTTAATATCCTTTTGAACACCACAGAAAATCATAAAAAGGCAAATACTCAATTTTTAAAGCAGTTTGAAGCCATTGGTTCTAGAGTAGTTTTCTAGAAAGTCTTCACTGTCAGTAATATCATTGTTCTTTTCCTCCCTAGGGACTCTGCCATGTAGTGAGAAAAGAAGCCTGGAAGTTTTTGCTGGGATATTTTCCATGGAACAGCACCAGAGATGAAAGGAAAAACTTGCAAAAAAGAAAAACGTGAGGATGTTTTAGAGCATAATCAGTTTTCGTAGCTGTGGAAATCTATGATGCCTGCATTTTATATTCTCCTGCCACCCATGTCATCTCTCCTGCCACCCACGTCATCTTTATTGCTGATAACAGTGCATTGGGCTGATAATGATCTTCCTAGGACTACACAAAGCATAATAGTGTAGCAGCTGTTTTCTGCTTGCTCTTGTCTAAATTCTCTTGGCCTTTTGCCTATTTCAACCCCAACAAGACTATCAAGTTTTAATGTTTTTCATTTTTTTTTTATTTTACTGTACTGAACAAGCATCTGATGAAGTCAAACTTGCATTACCTGGAAAAATGTTTAGTGTTTGACAAGAAAAAAATATTTTTTGCAGTGTTATATCATTTCTTCTTTAAGTTTCTATAACCAAATAATGTTTTCCTGCAGGGGTTTTAAATTAATTACTTTACATTAATTTATTTTTGTTTACAGGACACAAAGAACTTTTCTACCTTTTGATATTGTAAGACATATAAACAATGGGAAATACAATCCGAAAAACTAAACACATCCTACTTTTGGAATGCTAAAAAGGTGTTCCAAGTCTTAAGTAATTGGTTGTTGAATCATGAAATGATTCCACTGTAAATCCTTTGCTTCACTGGGTCACAGTGTTCTAAATAATAATAATAATAATAATAATAATAATAATAAT